CTGTTCTTCAAGAGGCTCTATCTTACCAGAGGCTCTATCTTTACAAACATGCTAAACAACGTAAATGGCATACTCAGGATTGTCACTCACTGTTATAATAAATCAGTTATGCAGTAGCTGAAAATTCATAAATCACATACATGCAATACTTAATATACTCATGGATTTTGTGAAATATTCCTCCTTCAAAAAGTTACTACTCACTCATCTAATAATAAGCATGACACCATGCAGCTATTTGTTATCCTTCACGAGTAAAGGAAATTCAGAATATAGAAGTAAGTTAAATGATAGAAGACTAAGATGCATGTCAATATCTCACCACTGTCTGAAGAAAATGGACGCCTCCATATTTGCATCTCTGGACAAAAAACCTCCCTATATAGCAACAAGGTAATCAGAACAGTACCAAAGACAATAAAAGACAGTGACAACTCTTTCACTCTGCCACACACTAATTAATGGTTTGGAATAACCGAATTAGTATAAACCCTTAATTTCAGATAATTATATTTCATAATTCCATATTCTTGCAAAAACTTTATATTATCATTTTTTTCTTTTTCTTCTTCTGAAAAACCTGTTTGATTAGGAAGCAGATAGTGTTTCCAAATTATTTATTTTATTCCTTTATCTCTTTATTTAAAAAATAATAAATGGGGGTCACTAACCTCGTAGCCTTTGAATTAATCCAGCATCCTGAAATAATAAAAATGATGGCACAGGTTACAAAAATCATGGTGGTAGTATATCATGTATATATGAATATGATAGAATCAATTAGGAGCAATCTTATGATTCAGTGTTTTACTTCATTAGGATTGCATATCTTTTGTAAATGTTGACCATATAACCCTATTATATATAGAATCTTGTGTGGTTAGTCAAGTGTCAAGACACATAATCTAGCCCTAATTCGCTTATTCTCGGGTTAATATCATCTAACACATGTGTGCGCACTCAAAATTACCAGATGATATATGACAGAAGCTCCGGACATTTTCACATCCTCTTGAATGAAAATCAATCTGGTAAACACAATAAAAAATAGTTGTAAGAACCATCAAAGGATATACTAATAAGTAAATCCTAAACCTCTAAATAATGAACACTGCAGGTGATGATGGCAAGAAAAGGATGCCATAATTCCACAATGTAAAAAAAGTGTATAACGGATACACTTTATCAAGGAAAGAAAAATGTTAATAATCATGCAAGCAATTAGTTCCAAGAAATATTTTATTAGAACAATAGGAATTCAATAGAGAGAATAGAAGAGAGTACAAGTATAAATATTAATTATGAAGGTGGGGTTGAACAATCCTCCATGAATCCCATCACATTTTGAACAAAACTCAAACAACAAAGATGACCCATTTCTTTTCAAATCATCTAAGAATCAGAAACATAAAACATGCACCTTATGTTCAATGCAGAAAATAAAAATTGTAGTTAGCAAATGAAAAGCACAACATGAACATGAGATTCTTTCAAGTTAAGACAGAAATCTGATCAAAATAATCATAACTGCTTTGCACAATTAGGGAGTAAATACAGAATAAGAAACAATGGCCCAATAATTAGACATTTCATCCCAAAAATAACACTTGAGTGCTCATCCTGCCATCCATACTTTACATGAATAAAAACACACAATAAGAGAGTATTGGATAGAAAATTAAGGATAATACCTCCTTTTCCACAATAGAAGAAACTGTTGCAGGAACTGATGAGCCAGACCGGAATTTCTGCACTGACTGACCTAGAAACTAAAAGAAATGGAGAACAAGTATAAAATTTTACTTAAAACTTCAATCCATAGACCATAGATTGACACAAAAAATTGAAATTGAAATCTAATTCTTCTCACCAAAGGAGATGGGGTGCCAGAAGCAACCCTTCGCCTAATGATACCAAACATGATTATGCTGTCACGTTCTTGTAGCTAACTTCAAACCCTGATTTAACAAATAACAACAATTTCAAAAACATTAGAAACTGAGAAATCAATCATCATCAGTGTGAACAATAACTACAGAAGATTCACGCATAGATAATTATTATGTAATAATAATAGTAATAATATGCAGATTATTATGATGTATATTTTCAGTTTTATGGTGTTGAGAAATTTGGATGCAAAATAATAATAATAATAATAATAAAATGGAATGAATGAGGAAACAAAAAGAGAGAAGTATTGAAATGAAGGGTGTGTGACCTGAATGCGAAACACAGAGATCGTTTGTGGAAAAAGAAAGAAGCAGATGAACAACACAACACAATATTTCTTTTATTCTCTTCTACCTTCTTTAGGGTAATAAATAATAATTACAATTCTATACCTCTTAATTTGTATTACATGTTTGTTCAAAAGTCAACAAATATAACCTTTACTTAAAAGTCAACAAATATAAATACATAGAATCCTTATTTTATTTGCATTATCATTACTAGCGTGTTCAGAGGCCCTATCGGGCCTGTCAACCCGCTTTCCTATCGTATGTAACTTTGAGTCGTATACAAAATAAATATTTAATATCATAATTGTGTTACATATTCTAATTTGCAGTTAAATATATTTAAAGTGAGACATAATTTAAAACATGCAATCATTGTTAAAGTGAGACAACTTTTACTCAATGTATCTTGTATACAATGTATGATCACTTTTACAAAGTTCAACTACCAGTCAAAAAGCTTGTTTGCAATCTATACTCTAAAATATGGTTTACAATTCTACACTCTAAAAACTCACTTTGGGTCATATTTTTTTGAAAGACTATTATTTTTTAGTTTGAGTACATACCTAATCCCATAATTTACAGGGTATTATAGGCATGTCATAACTTTTCCTCTTCTCACATGGATGATAATGCTGCATGTTCCAATGGACCAATACTTTTCTATATCACGAACTCATGTTGAAATGAGTTATGAATAAAAACATATCTTCCAATTGCTACAACTCGTTCCAGTTTCTATATCTGAAATATTAAAAACAAATTAGAAAATCTAGGCAAGTAGAAAATGTTCATATAAAATGGTGATTTTAGTAAGTGTTACTCAATGGAATCACCACAATTATACATACTAAATAGAGTTTTGATATTGTTCTATAAACTATATTGTTGTTTTGTCAAAACAGTTATTGAATGTATGAGTTTGGATGCTGTTTTTTTGTCTAAAATTGTTGCAATTTATGAGAAAATGTGGCATTGTAGTGAAAACTTTGTTTTTGTATGTATATCCTAAATATGCTACCAAATGTGTTGATGCCCAACTCGTAGCATCAATTTTAACTTGAAAGTAAGTTACATATAAACTTATATTAGCAATAGGATAAACCCAAATAAAAAGATTGTAATTGTGATTGTTAAATTATTTAGTAGTGATAAAAACGTGGGAATAGTCATAATCTGCAAACAAAGTATGCATGTATACACAATATAATTCACTATGACATTTCATCAAATAGTTAGAACACATGTTGAAAATTCCAATTTATACTCAACAAAATTTAATGAAACAATTTAAAATCAAACCCCAATATAGAATGAGAAAGAGTGAAATAATCTAAACATAGAAAACAATATACCAACAATATAAACTAAAGATTGAAGCAAAAAAAAAGTAATATATTGTCAGGTTTAATTTCATCGTAGAAACCACCAAATGATTGCATATTCACATTTTATTTTCAAATACCTATCATCACTGGTTGAAACCAGGAGAACAACTTTGGGGGAAAGGTTTAAGGAACAACCACTTTTAGCCATACATCACCTTCGAAATAATTATGTAGAGTGCATAATCAAGACCAACAAAATATCAAAACCAGCGATAAAGTACTTCTAATTCTTGGTAAGGAGGTTTACCTTTGCACAAAACTCCTTCCATAGCTATACATCAAATTGTTCAAATATTTATTAAACAAAAATATTACTACAAATAACAAATTGTGGCAAACATTGAAAATGGTGAAAGAAACAACCTTGGAAACCTCAGTGTCATTATAATACATGTTCTTGAATATAGCAAGTGTGCACCTTACCAAAATATAGCATTTGAAAATGGGAATAAAAGAGATGTTTAATAACTATCACAACAGTTACAAAAAGAGACATTAATTTACATTGAAAGTTATATATAAACATGAAATTAGAAGTATAAAGGGTAAAACAGGAAAACATAAATTACACCATGTGGGTGGTTAATTTATGTTTTCCCTTTATTAAGTAGTATAGATAATATTATTAATTAACTAATAAAATAATAATAAAATTATTGAATGACCATGCCCCATACTTTCTTAATATATATTAACTAGCGTGTCGAACTTTATCAACCCATTTTTTATCATTTGTAATGTGTACTCTACATCTAATAAATGTCTAATATAGTAATTTGTGTGAGATATTGTAATTTGTAGTTGAATATATTTGATTGAGATAATTGTTTAATTTTAATGAATGAATTGATTGTCGAGAATGAAATGAGAAAATTGACCAGAGAGAACATAATATAAGCGGTCTAATAGTTTTTGATGGAGTTTACCATGAAAGCTAAATTAAAATTAGAAAATTATATCATTGAATTATATGATTTTTTAGTATAAATGAGATGATACCGAAACAAAATAGGGATCCACATAATTATTTTGGATTTTAAATTTATTAAGTAGTATAAATACAATATTATTAATTAACTAATAAAATTATTGAATGATATTGTCCCATATTTTTATTAATATATATTAACTAGCATGTTAATATGTATTGTTGTGTCTGTGAATCCATTTTTCTATCATTTGTATTGTGTACGCTGCATGTAATAAATATCTAATATAATAAATTGTGTTATATATTTTCAAGCTTCTATATTTGTATTAATCATATTAACTTTTAATAACATTATTGATAACGTCATACTAGTTAATATATTTGGGTCATTCCAATGCATGTTTGGAAAGAATATGTGGCTAATAAGCATAAAGTATGTAGCGGGGATAGCTCAGTTGGGAGAGCGTCAGACTGAAGATCTGAAGGTCGCGTGTTCGATCCACGCTCACCGCATTTAGTTTGTATTTTTATGTTAATTAATGATCCAGTTCAGCTGATGAAGATGTTAAAAGACTTAATATTCTGGTGGGTGGGTCATTCACTAATATATCAAACTTATGTATATTTATTTCGGAGAAACAAACATTCCTCTAAACAAAGCAAGGATCGAAATTGTTATTGGTACAGAAAAACAAAAAATACTACTTCAAAGATCAAACCTCGTTAACATTGATTGAATAAGCTAGAGTAAAATTAATATTGCTTTTATATATCTTTAACAATTCACCACACTACAAACATAAAAACAAATACAAATTTATAATGAACAAAGCAAATTACATTGATATGGAAGAATCAGGAAGCTCTAGTAGGAGGCGATTTCGCAGGAAGACAAAAAGCAAATGAAATCCCTTGGCCTTGTTTTTCCTTATTGCTGGTTGATGATGATCTTTTGTCAAGGTTGTCCTTTGGTTTCTTTAGAACACAAACATTACCATCACATATGTATCTTTTGGATTCTGGTGATGATTCAGAGAAGCACCCAAAGATGTTTGAAAGATACATAGCCATAGAAAATGATGAGAATGCTATGCAAGTCTCAACTCTATGCACATAATAAAAATAATAATAATAATATAACAGTGATGTGGTTGGGGGCACTAATTATTAAGCATTGAAAATAAATGTTTGGTCAATGTTGATTGGCTCACAATCTTTGAAAATTTCAGTTTCTAGTTAATTTTCTATATAAATTAAGGACCAAGTACGTACGCGTTGTTAGTTTCAATGAGGGAATCTTCATAGTAAACACTCACTGTCTTAGTCAAAGTATCGGGTGGTTTATTTTTCTGTGCGTTCACATCTTCTACTTTGATTTATTTCTATAAAATTTCAATTAACTTTTTCTTGCTATTTGGTTTATATATGTTATATAGTACCCTATATATTTGATCTTAAGAAACCCTTCTATAGATCTTTCATAGAGTTTAGTGTTAGAGTATGTGGGGTTATGTTTTTTATTTATAAAAAGTACGCTATTCGTGTGGAAAATGATGTTTTTATGTAGATTAAATCTGTTGTATCACACTATGTGGAAGTGTGGGAATTTGATAGAGTATATACCTAATTTGCTTTCATTTCTTTTTAGCATCTTTGGCAACTATCAATATATAGCTGCTATTTCACCAAGGGAAAAAGAATAAAACATTGTTGAAACTTGTTAAATCTGATTACTTCTTATATTGGGAAGAGTTTTATTGCTTATAAAGATGGCACTCGACTAAAATAGAATTGTAAAAAAATCACAGTGATAATGACAATTTTTTCCTTTAAATCAGATCATATGTACTAACAAAAGTCCTTAACAATTTTATTGCTGTTACTTTGACTATTACTTTGTACTCATTTTAATTTACCATATAAAAGGAGATAAAAGCATGTCTCACTTTATGTGTTAGTTTTTTTAAGTCTTGATGAATTACACATGGTTCTACACATGAAGTGAGGCAGCAAATTTAATCTTATAAAAATTTGTTCATGTGATACATATTTTGTTTTCTTTAAGATTTAGTTCGAATCTTTCATTTGGAGATTTCTAATGTTGCTAGATTAAAAATGAGGAAATATATATATAAGAATCTTAAATTAATTTTTCTACAAATATACCAATTGATTATAACAATATTCAATTATATAATGTATGTCTTAATTGTCTATCAGAAATGAAATAATTATATAATCCAAACACACCCCATAACATTATTTTTCACTTTAAACATTCAATTTTGATGGTAGTTGAATTTTTGCAATAAAATTAAAATAAGAACAAAGGACGGATAAAAAGTAAAAGGTGAAGAGACAATTGGACTATTTTTAGCCTATTCAAATCATTAGTAAGCAGTAATAATAATAAAAACCATCTCATTAAAAAAATAGAAATAAATTTTTATTAAAAATAAGTTACTTAATTTTTTTAATAAGATTGTGATTTTAGCAAATTTAGACAGAATTTATAATTTAAATGTCGTCAAAACTTCTCTGAACTTATTCTTATTTAAAGGCCTATGGACAAAATTAACAGGACAATGTTATATAAGGGAGACTTCTTAGTATAGTAACTTTTTATATTTATTTGACATCTATCCTAGGTTGACTAATAAAGGAAATTAGAGGCATTAATTTGCTTCTCTTCTCTTCTATTAGGAATAGCTTGCCTCCTTTTTATTTTCAAATGAATAAATATCCTTGATCAGTGCATGATCAACTCTATTTTTTCTTTATTTGCAAAACTTTCCTAATGAAAAAATTAGCCGTTGGATATCTAAGATACAAATACTAGTCTCCATCAAATTTTATGTAAGATTTTCTTCTAATCACCAAGATCAAAAATATAGAAACTGGAAAATCTTTTTAGGGTGCCATATATTTTCTTTAGATTTATTTTCATTGTTTAGAGAAATTGATATCATGATTTCTGGTAGGTGTGCAGCTTGCAAGAGTCAAAGAAGGAGGTGCCCTTCGGATTGCATTTTCTCTCCATACTTCCCTCCGAATGATCCTCAAAAGTTTGCTTATGTTCACAAAATATATGGTGGTAGCAATGTTGGAAAAATGCTTCAGGTAACTTTTAATTAAAATAGTACACAATAATATGGAAAAAGAGTTGGTCGGTATCAAAGTTGAAAAATGTTATGTTCCAAAATTTGATGTTGCAGCAAATCCCAGCCTATGCACGAGAACAAGCTGTGGATACATTGTACTTAGAAGCAAAATGTAGGATTGAAGACCCTACTTATGGGTGTGCTGGAATTATCTTTAGGTTGTATCAACACATCCATGAAAGAGAAATCGAGCTGGCCAAAATCCAAACTCAAATTGCCTTCCACAAACTCCAAAATCCACATGTTGAAGTTGAATCAAATTTCACTGCCTTGTCAACAATTGAAGCTGAATCAAACTTAGATATCTTGCCAGCACAAAGCAGCATGGGGCAGTTTCAATATGATCACTCAAATCAAGCACATTGGTTCTATTAAAACATGTGTTTTTCTAATATATTCAAAGTGATTGCTTGGTTTTATAAGTTGATGATTCAACTATATCAAAAAATCAATTGCTTAATATTTATATGATTATATTCAACAATAAGAATGTTTGGGATTAGTCTATGTGTTACTGAATAATTTAGTGATTAAATTTTAGCATGTTTTATACCCTTTTCATAAGGTTAGACGTTGACTTTTTCAATAGCGTGCCTCTTCAGCTAAAATCAAATTACATGCCTCCTATGTTAATAATTAAAACTAAAATAGAAAAACCAAAGGTGCATGCATTTGAAGAAAGAAAGCACATGTCAAATCTTAATATAATAAAGTCCAAATCTTAACATTAAAGGATTACTATTATAATTTGAATTTCTCATCCATCCACAATTAACTAATTACGTACAAAAGGTTAAGAGTCCAAATTGTTGACACAGAAAGATAATGCATGCTGTGTCATAGCTTTAAATTTTAAAATATTTAGTAATTCACATATATTGCACATGCATGCTTTGTAAAGATAGCTATTCATGATAAATTCGTTGAAGATATATACGTAACTGAATAAAATAGGCTTCTTAGAGATTTCCCTTTTGTGAAGTGAAATATTGAGAAAGTTAAAGATCATATATAAAATATAGTAAAATAGAGAAGAAAGTAAGTTGATCCCAAAATAGTAATAATAAAATTAAAAACAACGGAATTTTAAAAGATAAGAATGTTTTAGTAAGAGAAAGAAGGAAAGCAAGCACTATCAATGGCTGAAATCGTGATAAGTTAATAATAATAATACACATGATAATTAAAGTTCCAATTTCAAACTCCACTTATTAAAGCATAAACATGACACCACAAAGAATAAATCAGACTTTCTTATCAAGAACATTTTATATGCATGAATGATCATCGTAAATTCATCTATAACAAATATATGAAGCTAAACTCAAGTGGGATGATATATTATTAATTATATTATATTATACTATTTTAATATAACTAAAATATAATGAGGAGTTGTAGAGTGTGATTGAAAAGATAGGATGAATAATTGGGGTTGTAGTTGAAGGTGATGGTAGGGGTGTCATTTTTATTTTGATTATACCCTTCCATTTATCTAAACCGTTATTTTATTTTAATAAAAACTCCAATGGTTATGCATCATCATCATGGACCCAGAAGCATTTTTAGATATTATTACTAGCTAGTATCATACTTTGTTCTTTTCAATAATTATTAAATAAAGACATGAAGATGGTGGTATGTCTCTCTCAAATTCCCACCTCATCATTCAATAATTATTAAATAAATCTAGTAATGGGGTTCCCTTTTTTTAATATTTACGGCTGCTTGTCTTTTCTAAATTGGACTATCACTACATAGATTTATCATTTATCATTCATTCAGCGTGTCTCATAATTTGATCCCACACTTTTTTATACTTTAACTCATTTTGTTTACAGTCTAAATTTTAAGAGACAAAATGAGATACCATATATTAATCTATCTTGCATTGGTTTCAAACTTTGACGTGCAAAAAGTAACCAGAATAGAAAATGGGAGAGGGAAATAATAAGCCAAATAAGAGAGAGGAAAAGCCAAAATGATTTATGACTTCACATATATATGATACAATTTGAATACATTCACCTTTCACATCCACCATTTGTTATGTATATGGCTGCTCTAAATAACATACCAGATACCATGAATTTGAGACAATAGGAGATTGAAATCACTTACAACCAATTTGATTCATTGTTTTTCATGATGTTTTATTCCCCAAGAATGTGCACACAACCACTAACTACAAACCCACTACACATAACATATTAATTAAATGTGAAAGATCACCTTTGTTTATTGACTTTCATAGTGATTCAAGGAAACCAGTTTTTGTGAGCACTGCATTTCTCACTTTGCTAAGATCCCTACCTTTGAGGGTTCTCCCAGCACCTTCTAAAACAGAAAATGTGGATATTTGA